CTGAATATCGAGAAAACACTTCATACAGTGATTATTGGACCTTTAAAGAGTATTCTTAGGAAGTTTCAGCTGAATCCAAGTTTGAGCGATTTTCGTCATAGTAGCACTTTAAACGTTTATCGATTGTCTTACGTCATCTGATTATGAACGTTACACGACCGGAAGCACAAAGCTCTTACTTATGCAATATAGATTACTTTGATATCAAATATGAGGAAATGAAATGCAGATGTTCCATGTGGGATATTTTTAGCAATTGTGGACGCCGTGGGAACCCACTGTGCATGCGCACACTCGCACAGTTTTATCTTTGGATTACTCATATTAAGAGAATCAAGGAAAGATGCAAGTTGAAGTAAAATTATGTGTCAATTTAGGCTTGAAATGAAATTTCAATGAGTTAAGCCTTTTTTTCTGATGTATTAAACCTCAACCTCAACATTTCGATTTTTCAGAAGACTCATAGACCGAGCTGGATGGATCGAAAAGTAGATTGATCGCTGCACATTACTTTTTCCATGCATTCAGTCAGAAGCCCTGCCTTTGACAGCTTAAATCATGATTTTAGCTTCAACAATTCGTACATCATGTCCTCAATAYATTTGAAAAATGGACCTACTTTGCCATTTTTAAACATTAAGCTCATGGAGAACGCCATGAGGCTAATATTTCATATGTAGGATTGAGTGGCTCAACACAAAATAAAATAATATGAGAAAGGCAGGGCTCCATGTTTGATTTTTAATGGCTTTCCCATGATGCATTGCAATGTAGACAAGTGAAGAATTGAGTAGCAATAAAATACCACCATGAAAAAAAAAAACAGCAGTTACTTGATGCATAAAAAGAATTGATAGCAAAGAAAGTAATTGCTCAAAATTGTTGAAGGTGAAATTTTTAAATGTGAGTTTTTTCTGGCAGTTTTGGGCATCATAGGAGTCGAAGGGTCAATACGGTTTACGGTCACGACGCCCCCTTGTCATGACGCCCCCAGCAATGACGCCCCCACATATACCATGACGCCCCCAGCATAAACCATGATGCCCCTAATCTCTATTAACTCTTATTTAATAAGAAGTTTAACAGTATTTCATATTATAAAATAACTGATATAGTACGCGCGCTATCATTGGTCGAGAGGTATGTTTGCATGAGAGTATGTAAACATGGTTTTGACGTCACAATCTTTGTGTTTCCCGGCACTTTTTGAAAACACTGAAAATTTTGATATTTAATACTAGTATTTGATTGTAAAACTACATTTGATAGCTAAGAATGGAAGAACAGATTCCGAATTTCTCTGTTGATATTGATGAAGTCAAAGAACCAGAGCGAAAAAAATCACGCTTCGCCGTTTACAGCGAGAAAGACCTTGACAATCTAGTTGATGAAAGCCAAGCAAAATCAACAAAATATGCCACAGCATACGCTGTATCGGTATTTAAAGGTATTGGTTTCATTCAGAATAACGTTTTTAATGTTTTTTAATTTATAAAAACCGGCTATTTCATGGATAATGTCACAAAGTTTGCAATTTTGATTAACATGTTACGCCGTGGGTGACTTGTTGTGAATTCACAAGTGCAAATCAAATATTTACAATAACAAAAAAACAAAAAACATTTCAGTCAATAAAACGTGCAATTTGTTTATACTCTTAATTCAGAGTGGGCTTCCTCAAAAGGAATTGAAGAAGAAATAGCAATCATGAGCAAAGAGGAGCTCAATGACAACCTAAAAAGTTTCTACGCCGAAGCTAGAAATAAGGACGGAGGAAACTATAGCAAAAGTACCCTGCTCGGATTCAGGAATGGCATAGAGCGCTATCTCAGCAACCCTCCCCATAAAAAAAGCTTTCATATTGCCACTGATCCTGCCTTCAAGCAGTCAAACCAAATCCTCGATGCTAAACTTAAAAGCATGAAAAAGAAAGGCGAGTCAAATGTTCAACACAAACCTGCCATTGAGCCAGAAGACCTTCGCCGTCTAAAAGAGAGCCAAGCTATAAGTCCAACAACACCTCAGGGCCTCCTATTCAACGTATGGTTCCATATTACGCTGTACTTCTGTCGTCGTGGTCGAGAGGGGCAGAGAAATATAAAAAAGTCCAGTTTTGCTTTTCTTCGTGATGAAAATTCACGGCCATACGCTACGATGACGCACGATGAAGCGACAAAAACACGACAGGGAGGGCTAGATGACAGATCTGCAAGCTTTGAAAAGCTTGGAAGAATCTACCAAACCGACCATCCAAACGATGGATATCATGCTCTCTGCCTGTATGTGGAGAAATTAAATCCCGAATGTGAAGCATTCTTTCAGTTCCCGAAGCGTTTTTGGAATGGCGAGCAAGAGAAAGTTTGGTTTGAGCGACGATGCCTTGGTGTAAACAAGCTCGGAGAGATGATGAAAGACCTCAGCAGAGCCGCAAACTTGTCACAGATCTACACTAACCACTGTGTGAGGGCCACTGCTATCACACTGTGGTCCAATGCTGGCCTGTCAAACCGACATATTATGTCTTTATCTGGCCATAGGAATGAAAATTCCCTCCGTAGTTACAACGCACGGCCATCGTCACAACAGCTACAACTATGCAGCAATGTCTTGTCATCTGCACTAAACTCAAGCATAGCCTCTAACCAAAACATCCATAGCAGGCACGACGAAAGCTTCTCCTTCGCTGGAATGTTCGCCGGGGCACAGATTAGCCACGTCCATGTACAATTTAGCCGCGATCAAGCAAGGGATTGACTTACATTTGACAAAGTTTACGTCTCTTACTAGTTTGAAAACATTTCTGTCGATATTTTGTGTAATTTAGCTCATAATTCAAGCCAACTTTCGACGATTTTCTACTTCTTCGCGTGCAAATTCGCCGCTCAACAGAGAAAAAATTTGACATTTCAATCCCGCTTTGTGATTGGCTAGTTAAGAAATATGATGATGTATTAAGAATTTGCATTTTGATCGCGAAATAAATGATTTGATCTACCTTTGTTTCGTGCTATTTTATCTTTAAAGTTATTTTATAAAAGCAATAGAAAATTTTTTCCCTGTGTTTACATAGCCTGATGCAAACACTCGGGAAGGTTGGGAGAATTCTCCCAACCTCCCCTCGTGTTTGCATCAGGCTATGTAAACACGGAAAAAATTTTCTATTGCTTAAGTATAAATCCAAGAACTACAAAAAAGAACGAAAAGGAAAAAAGTTGACGACAAAATTTCGTAAGTCCGACAAATTATTCGTAATTCAAGTTAGTATGCCGTAGTTGCCGTAAGAACGCTTACGCATAAGTTCTGAAACCTATATCCAAAAAGTTTGACACTGAAAATATACCACAAAAGAGAGTGCTGGTGAATAAAGTAAGAAAAGCATTGCGAAAGAATCAAAACCTTTGACATGACCATTACATGTAACTATGCATGAACGAACCAGTTGTTTTCGAACGAACGAGTCGTTTTCAGCAGTCGTAGTATGCAGACTTGTAACCTAATAGTTCTCTGGCATAGGAAGTTTTTGACTTATTCGTATTTTTGAAACATGTGTGTTTTTGCTAAATATTTTGGTAATCAGCAAAGATTTCTTACGAAAATCGGGTAGCTTGCTGTTTTCACTTTACAAGTCTTTTCACTGCTGGGTATGTTGTCACGGCAACTCGTTTGCGTCTAAAGTTTTTGACTCATCCGTAACGTTTCTTCTACTTTAATAGCCTCCTTATTCATATAAACTTTCTTGGAGGAGAAACATGTGTGTTTTTAATAACTATTTCGGAAAGCAAGCAAAGATTGCTCACATAAATCGGGTAGTTTGCCATATTCAAGTCGTTACACTGTTGTTATCACACAACTCCTCCGCGTTTGAAGCCTTCGCTTGGTGACGCGAAACACAAACTGCGTCTCAAAAACAATCATTACTGATGAATTTCAGAGTTCATATTAAAATGATATTCTAGAGCCACAAAATTGAAAATAAATCAAAAGAGCATACCAAATTATCGTAGTTACATGTAACTATGATATTACTCTGGATATTACTGTAATCTAAATACAAATGATACGTTGATGTGACGCATCGTGTTTGTAACACACCCAGGAATGCAGCGAGGTGTCACTTTCGATTCCTCGGCTCACTGTCTAATTTACTTCCGAGGTTGAGTTTATTCAACTTTCTGTTCGTAATTTCAAAACCTATTCTGTAAACAGATGCCTTGAAGAAATATTTTGGTTTTCCCGGCAATTGCTGAAACCACTTGAAAAAGCTATCGAAATGGACATATTTATCCATTTGTGTAAATAACAAAAGAGTTTGAAACACAAAGGTGTGCGTCTCAAAAACAATCCTTACAAAAAAGTTTTAATGTTCTTTGTGAAATGATGTTCTAGAACTCCAAATGCACCGAAATGATGTTCTTTAAATATGAAGAATTTTTTATAACTTTCTTGTGCCGATAAAAGCATTCCGAAATGTTGATCACGGGCCATGTTGAGAGTGCTTCCTAACAACAACGTGACTTGATCGCACAAAATAAAAGTTTTGATCGATGAACATGTCTTAGAATTATGGTTTGAATTCCTAATACATCTAGATGATGTTCTTTAACTCCTAATTCAGCTATATCATGTTTTGGAACTAATTGTTAATGACAAAATTCAAGAAGTACATCGCTTAACTACAGAGATTTAGTGTTCGCCAGCTCGTAGGTATCGTTTTTAACTTGTGGATACGAGAAGCGTAGAAACAAGTTATTTAAAACCGTAATGACCATGAAACAACTCCAATAGTGTTGGATTTACATGGGTTCGTAGCGCCATATTATTATCGTTAAACTTCTTATTAAATAAGTGTTAATAGAGACTAGGGGCGTCATGGTAGTACAGACTGGGGGCGTCATGGTATACGTGGGGCGTCATATAGCTGGGGGCGTCATGACAAGGCGGCGTCATGAACGGTTACCGTCAATACACGATACATTTGAATGTATCATGGAAACTGTCACAATGACTAACCTGAATCCAAGTTGTTATCTTTCACAATAGTTTTCGTATGATCAACAATAGAAGACATTTCAATCTAGAATGAAAAGATGAAGGCATATAATATCATATAATCATATAATAAACAGAATATTACATGGGCGCTTGGAGATAYGAAATTTATCTTCTCGTGTTGAAAATCTCCCACTCATTTGCTGCGCTCACTCGTGAGGGATCTTTTCAACACTCGAAGATAAATCTTGTATCTCCGCGTGCCCATGTAATATCCTCTATATAAACTATAGTTGCTTACAAAGATTTCTACAAGAGAAATTTCAACACATGTAAAAATACGATAATTTTCACATGTAAAATTATAACCAATCAGTTTTCAGTATTCTGTGACGTCATTGCTCTCACAGGCACGGGAAAATCACAACGGTTGGCAGCTTTGTCTCGTATGTGGTTGCAAAGATTGCTCACTGGATCGATAATGTTGTTAAAATTATCAAAAATTATGTTAAAAAACATGGCTGAAAGGTTTGTAACCTCTTGATTTACAAGACATCATAGATTTTATCGAGGAGGAGGAAAATGCAACAACCGAAAAAGACAAAGAACGACCTGTTGCTCATTCAGTTATTTCTCACAACTGAGGAGACTTGACCATTTGCAGAGATTTTACCTCAAGAACTCGACTCGTATTTGTCCAGATTTTTGCTATCAGTCAGAAAGAAAATCTGCGAGGAATATGAACCAACATCCCTACGAGGGTGAACAGTCTAGAGTTGAACTTGATTTGGGTTTGTTTATTAAAGACTGTATTTATGAATTCTCAGTTTTATGTCGAACTGAACTTTGTATTTGGGATGTTTTCTACAATAAAATTCAATTGTTTTTTGAAAAAAATAAAAATGTGCGTTGGGAAGTTGCAATATTTCTTCCTCTGGATCCTCTTTAGTTTCTCATTACTGATCAACCTAATGTTGAGCTCACAGATTTTCACTTCCTGGTGTAAGAGCTCTACCAATTCATAATCAGAGGTAACCCATGGTAAGCTCGTTAAGCTTTTCGAGTACCAATGAACTAAGATGATAACAAATGACACTTGGTGACTCATTTCATTGAGGGTATATGACCCGAGCTATATAGTAAGGCGATAGTCGGAGTTATGTTTTGTGCAAACAAATTGTTGTCTTAACTAATTAAATTATTTGCTTCTGATCTTTCTTTTCCAATTTCTGGTTACGAAATTATTCTTCTGAGATTATCTGGACCGAGTCTAATTGCCATCCAATATATGACAAACCAGGCTGGATTCTTCTTCCAGTTTAATGATAAATACGACAATCTCATATCACAAGGTCCAATAAAAAGAGCATAAACTAAGAATACTCAAAATATGCTGCTCATTACATGTGATTATGAAGTGATCGAAAATCCAAAATGGTTTCCTCTGCAAACAGCATGGATTCTTACAGTGACGTCACTTGGCAAATACAAAGGATTCCATGGTTACGGGAATTACCCAAAATGATTGGCTGAGAAGAGTTATCCGAAAAATGTGAAATCTAGCCACCTCGATAGCTCTTCACGAGCTAAAAAGGAAGGTGACATCATTCTGTTTCCTGCTCGTCTGTTCAATGCATGATGTCACTTAGTTTTCGAAGTCATTTTCTAAGTCATTGTTGGTTTAGTAATTTAAAAACTGAGGTTTATTGAGAGACACTGTCTGACTGTTACAATGAATTTGTTTCAACTCTAACAAATTTGACCATTCATATGGCACAATCTATTTCTAAAAAAAATCCAAATCAGGACAAAGTTGACATTAAAGTCAAGATTTGATTATAACTGACAACTCCAGTGTTATCACCAACTGCATGTTGGGAATGAAATATTTTGATTGGCCAAGGTCACAAGTTACATGTAATATGAGTTACAGTACAGGCCAAAAACATACATGTACATTTGATCGCTAGCTGATCGCACTGAGTGCTCGCGATCTGCTCGCAATTTGTTCGAACCTTTCTTTATTGTTGTTTGCGATTTCATCACGATTTGATTGTGTACTATACGCGAGCAAAACTTGACTTCAACATAAAACCTTTCAATTGAAAGATTATCATTTGGATGCATTTGAAGTTCTAGAATGATGGTTAAGAAGAGTTTCAAGCCTGATGAATGGAGTTGATAGAGAAGAAAGACAAGTCTCTAGTGTGTCAAAAATGATTGCAACTTGACCCCGATCTAGTCGTTTTGAATCCTTTATTGTCACGAAAAACCTTTAAATAAAACCTTTCAATTGAAAGATCATTGTTTGGATTCATTTAAAGTTCTAGAATGGTGTCAAAAAGAATTTTGAAAGCGATTAATGAAAGTGATTGATAAGTGAAACTCCCCAATTCTCTGATGTGTACCGAAACGAGTCGACTCCAACATATATGCTTTAGTAGGTGATCAGCATAAAATAGTTGGCTAGTTTAACATAAATATGGACAAAAATCAATAAAATTAATCCATTGTGAAATAATTTTTTTTGCAATAAATGTGTCAAAAAGCGTAACACTGTCACGCATTTCGTTCAGGGTATGTGTTCCAATAGAAATACAAGCGTGATGTGACGTGTTGCTTCAACAAGGTGTCACTTACTAGACTGACTGAATTTGGCTTCAGATGTAGTTTTCGTGCTCTTTTCAGAACTTCAAACATTATTTATGAACATAGGTGTTTAAGGAATCTTTATTCGATAATTCAAGACATTTTGGCGACCATTAAAGCATCTGATAAAGAAATATTTGGCCTTAGTCATTCCGATATGCTTTTGTTTATATTGTCTCCCAAGTGACGCAATGTTTGGTCAATAAAGTTAAATAAAGTTATTATCATTATTCTTTTAGTATAATTTTAGACTTGAATATAGAAATTGGTGTGCTGCGATTGGTCAAACAACCATGATTTCTGAGATAATATGGAATATGAATTACATTACTGAATTTCTATGGCCTTTCTTTTAAAAGACTGCATAAAGAATTAAAATTACACTAAAATGTGTAAAGTGCTCACTTGTCTCAAGGCATGGTTTACATGTTTAAATGTGTGTCATGAATTAATGCACTCTGTCTAAATAATACATGCAGACACTGTACAGTGGTAAACTTCTGAGCTATAGTGTATGTAATTTAACTTACCGCATAAACATGCTTGGCTCCTGCTCTAGCTGCAAACATTGATAGTATTCCAGTCCCACAGCCCACATCCAACACTACTTTATCACGGAATAAATGCTTATTGTGGTACATTGAGTTTCGATAAGTCAATGTACGAACTTCATCTTTAAGCATTTCCTGAAATAAATGAAAATAACAATGGCCACTATAACATAATACCAAGGCTGTATTATAGAGTAGTTTTGTCGGTAGCTTTCTTATTCTATGTTTTGGGTATTTGAGTGGATGGAGAGTAAATTCTCAATAAATGTGATTGGTCTGGCACATGCCTTGCCATGTCACAACTATTTTCATAGTACCTTAGGCTTTCACAGTCTTATAAAAACCACCCTAAGTAGGAGCTATACAGCGAGGTGTACATTTTATTTGTAGTAGTTTTTTTAGAGCCAAAACACCTTGAAAATATAGCATCATTATCAGAATAGCTTGCAAAATAATTTAAAAGTTGAAGTCATGGATCAGTCCCGTACTAGTTCTCAACACATTAACTGACTAGTTTATCCCTTAGTACTGATCTTCCGTTACAGAAAATATTACTTTGAATAGCTGAGTCAAAGCATGAAGCAAAGCAAAATCAATCTATTGGCCATTAAATTTGAAATGTCTATCACATGATCTGCTAGCTCCACCCTCTCCTAATCACTTGACATGGTGACATTGATTGACTGCTAGTACATGCTATTTGATCAGATTGTATGAAGATTGGAACCTTGAAGCAGATGCAAAGGTCTTTTGGGTAAGGTTCTAAAGGCCCCTGGGTACTATTGCAAAATTTGTTCATTTTGTCACTCAGGAATCGGAAGACAGTTATTTTATGAGTGGGCTACCACAGGTACCCCAGTATATAATCAAAAGTAGACAATCGCTCACCTCGTGTATGCCTATATGCCACCAAACCAAGCACCGTTTGAATATTTGATCGGCAAAATGTCGAATGGATAATGTGGAAAGATACAAAAAAACTAAATGAGATGGGGTTATCAATGCAAATACACCATGTTGAAATAGAAGACTTACGGTTAATCAATGCAGAAGAAAATCTAATAATTTTCTACGTTGTTGAACTAAGCCAACATTCTAATCGACTATATATCTTTCTATGAAAGCGTACGTTATGTCAAACTGTCCAAACCTTCACTCACCAAAATGTGCATAAGAATCGAAATAGTAATCAGCGCTGGTCATTTCAGCTGCCAAAGGAGTCTTTTGGTCCTTTTCCTTTTCTTCATGATGGCCGTTTAGAGTTGTCGAACCACCAGCAACCAACGTTTCATCCGCAACCACGGCCTTTGCGGCCTCAATTTCCATGTCTGATGGCGTAGGCTAAAATAATATCAATAGTTAGATTAATTTGTGAACTAGTAAAGTATTAAGAAAAGATATTTTCTTACCTGTACTTTAGCAACTTTGGGTTTGCGTTCCATTTCTTCCACGTGCAACGACAGATGACACTCAACGAATCTGTGCCCGCAATCACACTTACACTAGGTCAGCGACTTGTTCAAGCTAAACACAGGAAACCCATAAAACAATACTTTGGAAAAATTAACCTGAAATTTAATGCTGATTCCAAATATGAAAAGAAAAATAGGGTGTCTTTAGCTTGTTTTCGAGATAATCAGCATTTAATGGATGCCTACGGGCGAGTTTTTGGAGCAAAATGGCGCCACGCCGAAAGTGATCAGAAAAAATTAATAGTCTATAGGATAAAAGATGCAGACTCTTAGATTGCAATAATGACGGGTAGTGTATTATTCTACATACAATAATACTGGATATTTTTGACAAAACGACAAAGAAACACATCGATCTGCCATATTTTGTCCTTTCAGTGCTCTCCTGAAAACTCTCCGGCATAAAGCCGAACAAAAATCAGGTCATGTGTTAGAAAAATCATCTTTTTCTTTTTAAAAAAAAAGATATAAGGAAGCATTCATGTTTGGGAGGGGGGGACGGAGGAATTGCATGTTTTAAATATTTAAAAAACGCCAGCCCCCATGGTAAGGAACTGAATTCTATTTCGATGACCCACCCCACTACCAAATATAAAAATGTACAGCCCCCCCCCCCAAAAAAAAAACAAACTACACACATCCTTACAATAGCAACAGAACATCACACACAAACTAGATATACCTTATTTCTTTTAAGTATTTTTTAGTATTTCAGAAACGTGATTTCCAGGAGCCAACTGTACGGCCATAGCGATTGGCTCTCGTTTCGCAGACCTCTTCTTCACCCTCTTTTTCATCTTCATTTTCATCGGTGTCACTTCCACTGGATTGCTGTGGTACATGATTGTTTTCAGAATCTGATTTGCATTCATCAGATATTTCCCTAGTATTTTGTGTGATCCTCTCACATATTTGCTGCCTAATATGAGGAGAAATAAGTTCAACTTTCTATTTTAATATATATATCTTTTTTGTACAAATTATGGTGATGCAGGTACTTGTCAAGTTCAAAAACTCTTAACTTCTTGGATTCCTGCTTTGCACATTTCTTGCCAATTGTAATGTTGGTATTCTTTGGAATTGTCATTTAATTTACTTTGCTTTTTTACTCGTGGATACGCGAAGCGTAGAAACGAGTTATTGTGAGGGGTCTGAATATGCAAATGTGTCACTCACTCGCTCACTCACTCGCTCACTAAGATGTTAGCAGATCGATAATTAAACGTTTGTCGATCGTCTTACGTCATCTGATTACGAATGTTACGCGATACTAACAAGCACAAAGCTCTTATATACAATATAGATTACTTTGATATTTATATGAGGAAACGAGATGCTGATGTTCCATGTGGGATATATTTCTAGCACTTGTAGGCGCCGTGGGGGCACATTGTGCATGCGCACACTCGCACATAGTTTTATCTTCGAATTATTCATAAATAAAAGAATCAAGGAAAGATGCAAATTGAAGAAAAATTATAAAATTTACGCCTGAAATAAAATTTCAATGAGTTAGACCTTTTTTTCTGGTGTATTTTGAAAAGTAAGCAAAAACGTTTATTAGGTACAACGTCAAGATTTCGATTTTTCAGAAGACTCGATCGGGCCGGTTATCGCGGAAAAAGCTATTTTAATTAGAACTCAAGAAGAGAGTCTGAKTTCAAGCTCTGGAGGACTTTATTCTCCATAGAGACAGCCCAAAGTCACGGCGATATTCAGCAATAAAATCTAATAAACTCGATCGAGCGAAGCAGTTTAATATTACTGATCAATTCAAGTGATCAAGTGACTTCTTAAGAAAATAATCAATGTAGATGTACGTAGATCGTAGAAAAAATAGCAAAAGACGAAAAAAAGAACAATTCCAATGCAGTCCAAGGACGTTCGGCCAGTTTTGTCATTTAAATAAGCCGTTCTGAATAAAAAGTAGATTGATCGCCACACATTATACAAGATTACAAACAGCCGAAGGTTTTGCCCTCTTGAAGCTCAAAACACGTATGGTTCTTCGATAAAATCGTGAATATTATTCAGGTTTTTGAGCACGCGCACATCGTGGACTCAGCCACCGTAAATGGCAAAAAGTGCTACACCTGACTGAAAGATCAGTGTACCAGGTGGCTGATCGCGATCTAAAACCTTTTTGTATGGCACCTTTACAACGTAATACATTAGAATATGCAATAATACCTGATCCAATTGCTTTTACCGCCGTTTGCATTACTACGCGGCCACCCCGACACAAATCGAGTCGTGTAGTTTGCAATAGACTACCGTCAGTCATTCATGTTGCCGCCATTTATTGTCAATATTGTTTTTGAGAAAAAGGTAACCTTGCAACTTTGAATGAAAGTTGATAATATTGAGGTTTTTGACATAATATTGAGGTTATTACAGTGGAGGAGCTGGAGGGATTCGCAGTCAACTTTTTAAAAGATTGTCGCCCTCCTCCTTTTATTTTTTTACCCAACAAGGAAATAGCTTTCTTTAAAATGAAAAGATTTTACCTCCCAACAAAATTTTTTACTGATGATCTATGAAGCCCCATCCCCACCCTATCAGGCTGGTCAGCAAAAGTTAAAGCAGTCAAAGCAAAAAATAATTCTGCATTTGTCGTAGGTAAACAGTAAAAAAGGCCTTGCATATTGAAWAATGAGTAATCTCATACATAAGTAGCTGGTACTGATTATGAAAGAAGAAAGGAGAGGAGAGGTTAACGTTCAAACGGCCACTTTATGAATATTAATAGCTTATTGACCTATTAAACTGACAGTTACGCCGTTTAGAACTGATTTTCACTAAAAAACATTTACATACATGAATGCTTTAAATGGCACTAAAAAAATATACACTGGCAAAATGAGAGGCCCTGGGCGTGAAAACTTTAACAAAGAAAAAAGAAAGAATATAATATATTGTAAAAAAAGAAAAAAGAAAAAAAAAAAAAAGAATAGATCGTTTAATTGATGGAAGAAAGAAATTTCGAGATTAAATTCAAATTAAACCGCTGATGCAGGGTATGCAAAATATATGGATTTTCCATCATTAGACTATTATCGCTTTGTTTGCAATGCTGGCTTTGCGTTTTTTTGCTGGGATCTCGCCATCGTCTTGAGCTGGTTCTTGGCTGTCGGAAATCTCGAACTCTTGATACTGAAAATAGATACGTTTTGTGTGATTAGAAGTATATTAGTGATCAGTGTATTGCCTGGGCGGAAATAATCGAGAGAAGAAAAATTTTAAGAGCGCATTTAACAACAAAAAACAAAAGGAAAGTGTTCACAGTTCGAGTGTCTCATACAGTTTTGTTGCATCACAACTCATTATCACTAATACCCTGGACTCCAGAGGTTCTTTCCACCTTCCTGTGGTTGTCTCGTCACGACATCCAGTCAAACTTTGACGGCAAGCGCTGAGGAGCAAGAATAAATAACCTCTGGAACCCAGAGTATGTGACTAAATATGTACCCCATCAATCGTAGCTATTGCCTTTTTTGCGCTTTTGGGTCTTTCTTTCGTTCCCTTGGAAACTGTGGTTTTGTGTTGATCCTAAGAATTGAAATCATACTAAGTGAAAAAGGAATTACATCTGACAGGAAAAAATAACTGAAAAATATGCCCCTTCGATTTTTATCTAAGATTTTGCTTTACCGACCTTCGTTCTTTTTGGACGTACTTTTCCAGACAAGTTTATTTGCGAAGCTTTCTCTGTAATGTCGTCAACATTATGAGGCTAAAAATGAACAATGAGATGTTAGAGCAAAATGGACTTAATGGTTACGTTTCTCACTCACTCAACTTTTGGTACACTATCTTAAAGATGAAATCCCCTTTCTAAAACCACCCGCCTGCCTGCCCATGCCACCAACCCAACAAACCATTATAATTATACTATTGACAGCATAGCTTTATTTGTATAGAGAATTTACAGGAATTACCTTATGAATATCCCTCCTTTCATTTTGCATGTAAGTCCTGATATCATCCGAACTCAACTTGGCCTTGTTGACGATTTTTCCAAGTCTAAGTAACAGGATAATTTATTCGACATTATGTTTGATTATTTCATTACTTTAATTGCATATCAGAGCTAGTTATTTTTAGTGTGTATAAGTTTTCTTTTTCAGGACCGAGAAAAATAACTTCAGCTTTATGATTCTCTATATCATTGATTTAATAAGAACGTGACGTAATCATCATGAACATGTAGATAGTAAAGAGATGTAAATTATGTTTCATCAAGCTCATTTTTCTCGGGAAAAAGTCCGAGTTCAAGCAAGCACGATTATTAGTATATGTAATAGAACTCCATGCTGTCCAATTAAGAAATAATTGGACGAGGAAAATTCCGAGGACTGACAAAATTGGATGAGGCCGTAGGCTGAGTCCAATTTGGCAGTCAGAGGAATTTTTCGAGTCTAATCATTTCTTGATTGGGGAGCATTAAATCCCATTACCTATTAATTATATAGCTGCCTAATTAATACCATATCAACAAGACCTGTCCAATTAAGAAKATAATHGGACAGTTACCAATATGGGATTAATGAGAAGCTGTATAATTATATTATTATTATTATTATTATTATTATTATTATTATTATTTTAGTAAACGACCAAGCTAAAGATACGTGTGACAGCTTGTGCCGGACACCAGGTGTATTACCCTTAAATGTAATAACGCCCATAAATGTAATACCCACCATAAATGTAATAAAAATCAACCATAAATGTAATAACAACCATAAATGTAATAACAGTCAACCACAAAAGTAATAATCGACCCCACAATAAATTAATACAATTTAACCATAAATGTAATRATCAAAACCCACCATAAATGTAATAACCCCTCCAACCATAAATGTAATAACCAAGTATTCCGGAGATTCAAACAAGGTGTTCAATCGATAAACAACTCTAAGCAGCATTGTTTGAGTGTTTCGTCAAACACAGTGGGTGGGGTCACATACCACGTGATAGCCTGTGTAAACAGCCGTTTTGCATACGCATGTACATAACATTTTCTCACAAATCCCACGGTCAAGCGTATAGACGTCTGCGTCAACAGGAGCAAAGTTTCGCACAATTTCAATAACAGTTAAACAAAAATTAACTTATTCATTTATTTTAGGACTATTACATCATATTTCTCTCTGTCACAAAACAAATCCCACAGTCACGTAATAATCCAGCGTTAACAGCCGTTCCTTGCACTTCCATCCGTATTCAAAACGGCTGTTTATACAAGCTATCACGTGGTATGTGACCCCACCCACTGTGTTTGACGAAACACTCAAACAATAGACCTTTATCACACGACAGCCATATTTATCCTCATGAGAATAAAAAACCTTTGCTTGACCCTCATAAGTTTATTCTCAAGCTCTTGTATGCAAGGCTATGCGTGGTAGAATCTATTGTTCCAACCAACATGGCTGCCGCGTGAAAAAGCCCCATGCTGCTCAGAGTTGGTTGTTGATTTAACACTTTGTTTGACTCTCCGGAATACTTAGTTATTACATTTATGGTTGGAAGGTTATACTTAGTTATTACATTTATGGTGGGTTTTGATTATTACTTTTATGGTTAAATTTTATCTAACTCAGGTATCGTATTGCCTCAAACCCACACAAGGAGATACTGGCTTACTCTCTGGTAGTCTTTTTAGATTTGTGACACCCTAAGGGATACCAAATTGCAGATGTAGAACCCGCAAATCGGAGTCTCCCTCCCCCTTTTCCCCGAATGCCGCATGGGACGCCTGCAAAAAAAAAAAAAAAACATTACTAATTTACCTTTTCCCCTTAAGTGCGCTACGAACAAAACCCTCTTTAGTAAGTCTGTTTATCAAACCATGAGCCACACTCAACTCGATTCCTAGAATTTCAAAAAAAAAGTCGCTATTAAACAAACAAACAATGAATGAGTGAGTGAGTGAGCTTACATTGGACTTTAACTAATTAGATGACTGAATATGTTGACATACACATGGCTTAATATTAAAAGAAAAACGGGGTGTCCAGGAAACAGCTTCTTTCCTAGACAATAGGTTTTGAGGTTTGAAGAAAATAAGTTGGAAACCATGAATTGTATCGCAAAAACTGGCAAATAAGCAATCGGAGCTATTTTTCACAGAACAACTAACTTACCAATTATGCATCAAAAATATGAAAACATATTTGAATTAATTGTTTAAATACGACCAAAGTTAATCTCTGTGATCATTCCATCAACTATAATCCGTAATAAAAACTATCGTTAAGGTGCTTTTACACGAGATGATTTTAGCGCAACGTCGTAACCGCGCGCCATGTTACAAGAGAAAATTTTTTTGAAAGTTACTCGAGTCATCAACGTCAGACTTTAAATCACTAGCCTAAAAAATACTGACCAAGTCGCCGGGAAAGGCCGGTAGGCAGAATTCTACTCATCTCGCTACACGCAGAAAGAGCTCTGCGCCAAAGACACTTGGCCTTCAATTAAGATAAAGAAAAATTAAGAAATGAACAAAACTCGTCATATGTATACTCTCGTCAACCTTGCTAAATATTCTTCGTTTGACGGTTGTACATGAGAAGACACATACATAAACATGGATAAATGATGAAAAATTAATTCTATTCCCAAGAGAGAGAATCATGTGTGATAGTTTGAAATGGGAAAACAGTACGTCCAACCTAAAATAAGGTCTTTTGGTTAGCAGGGTATGAAACTCTTGAAAAATGTAATTATTTGGTTGATTGATTTTCTCTTTGGCATGTTTGCGAACTTTACTGCATTTCAATCAGAATAGAGTTAACCTCAACAAATCCTCCTTTCCTTCCCTCCCCCAAGTCACAAGCACCATTCACATTTAAGGGTCACAAGACCCTTGGACACTTCCCCTAGGCCCTAGCTTAATGTTACTTAAGCAAAGATTCCAACAAAATTAAATAAGATTGAGAACAAAGAAATAAATTGTGGGGTAATGAAAACCATCATAAATAACTATTTCAAAAAAAGGTTGGGGAAGGTTTTGTTGAATGTTGCATGTTGGTTGTTGCATGTTGCATGTTGCATGTTGTATGTTGCGTGTTGCATGTTGCATATTGCATGTTGCATATGATTTACCAAGCTTGAAACTATTTTACATGTAAAATAATGCGAACACAGAAGAAAATGAGATGAAAAAACGTGCAGACAAAGTTTTATAAAAGTTTTATATATCTGGAAGACCTTTCGCTTACGCTTTCGCTTGGTATGCAGCATACGACAAAAAACTTCACCAACCTTTTTTTAAAATAAACAGCTGTATTCAATAGCACTTGACAGTAGTCACAAGACAGCACCTTACCTGAAGTGATGCTGGTTCAAGCTCCCTAAACGACGGGTCTGTACACTCGTCGGAAACCCCTCTCTTCTGTTTATTAACAAAAATATTATCAGGCAAATTAATTTAACAGCGCTGTTGTCGTAAGGCGTGGTCAATAACGACCGATTGGGTTAAGTCTTACAAATGGGAAATACCATGCATATTATTTGGTTGCCTTTGCTGTTTTTTATACTATTCATATTGCAACATATCATATCTGATTTTCTTTTAATGTTATGTATACCGTAGTTATGACACAATAAAATATGCTGAGTGATTTTCTTTTGTATATTTGGCGTTCGGTACGACTACGCAGTTATGACAGAAAAATCTTAGTGCTTTACTGCGTTGTATCATTATGGATACAATGAATACCAACAAGATGAATAACCTCATTTTTAAAATCTTTATAGTCTCGGTATCTCTAATAAGAATCAAATCCAATGATTATTTTAACTTGAAACTTGATCGGCCAAAATCGACAACAAGGAAAATACCTTTGAGCAGGTGGCACAAACATGTAAGTCAGGAGCCTCGTCTTCCTCTAGGATTCCATAACACACAGCGTGCTGCCATGTATTACAGTTACCACACATTATCATTAGACCGTCATCCTAGAACAAGAATGGTTATTAGGCGCCGGTGCTGTGAATTCAATGCAATCGTTGACTTAACGATAGCTTTTAAGCTTTTTACAAATAAATGCGTGACGCGAGGTTCTTTCAACAGATTCATCAAACACGTGTAGGAATCTGCTACGTGAGTTGCGTAAAAATTATAATCTTCATAATAAGGGAGCGGTCATTAATTATTGGTGGGGGAGGGCCGGTAAATTATTTGAAACTAGGGATCAAAAATTTTGGCTCCACATAGAATTTGAGCCTAAAAATTTTGGCCCCCTCTGACAAGATAGCCCAAAAAATTACAGCCCTCCCCCTCCTATAAATAGCTTTAATTTTTGTATATAAATCTGGAACGTTGCAAACTATAAGCATACATAGCAGTTAGATTGATATGTGGTGTTGCTTGCGAGGCACTTATTCTTTATAAAATACATCGGTTTGAAAATGTTATGATGGAAAAGTATAGTAAAAATACTTAATAGTTCTAGTTAGTTCTTATGCCAAAAAAAATTTAGTCAGCAACACTTGCTCTCTCCCTCCAAGTTCTGCAAACTCTTCCTGATCTTGTGGTGTTCAACAGACTAGCAATTTGTTCTTCTTCTTGATGCAATTCATCTTCAGTGTCTGAAGAGGATAATGATGAAAGATCATCGTCATCGCTTCCAATCTCTTCAACCACTATATCATCATCCTCATCTTGGTCATCATCACGCTGTCGTCAGTCTCGTAAAATCTATTGTTTAGTAGGCTGTTGAGTTGGCAAAAGTGACCAAGCAATATCCATTGTCACAGCATCCACTTTTTCGGTTTTTTTTTTTTTTGCTCCCCTGGAGATTTTAATCGCTTGTTTTCTATATACACGTCGAGTACTGACACCTTTAATTTTTTCAGACCTCCATCCCTGTATAAACCTTCTAATTAAAGTCGTTGAAACATTTCTCCTTTTCTTCCTTCCTTGTAAGTTCTCTGGTCTCTGCCCTCTTTTTTTCCCTTTGCTCCAGATGATGAAGATGTTCTAAGTATTGTGCTACTAGCCGTTTTTCAACCACGTACTTCTCAAACCACATGACTCACACTCTATYAAACAGAACTTRGAACATATAAAAAGTATCAAAGAATCACTAACTACTCTTAAGAACGTCCTSAAAGAACATTTACGAAGTACCATTCACTCGTCGGGTAGAATTCTGACAGGACAAAAAACTGCACACGGCTTTGATGAACGGATCATTACATCCTCAAAAACTTTGCAAAAAGAAACGAGTTTGTTACAAAACCGACTTATCAAGCTTTTGGATGAAATAGCCCCATCAGTTCAAGGAGACGATGTTTGTACTCATCAAGATTTGCAGGATTCAATTATCATGAAACTTGGTAAAAGAGAGAGAAAATGGGCAGTAGCCCTTATATCTAAATCATCACCTCACCTGGATGAAAGAGCAAAACAACATTTACGCATGCTGTTGAATCAAGATATAAATGTTGAAAAAACTATGTAGATAATGACGATGAAGAGCAAGGGTTAGATTATGATAATTATGATGATAATAATGATGATAGTGATGATGATAATGATGATGTTGATGACGACGACGACGATGATGGTGATGATGTCAGCATTGATGATGAGAGCAATTTATAATGATAATAATAATAAATAGAGGATATTACATGGGCGCGCGGAGATACGCAATTTATCTTCGAGTGTTGAAAAGATCTCTCACAAGTGAGCGCAGCGAACGAGTGAGAGATTTTCAACACGAGAAGATAAATTGCGTATCTCCAAGCACCCATGTAATATTCTGTTTATTATATAATTATCAATGA